CCTGCTAAGTATATTGTTAGCTTTAGGGATCCCTGGGTGGCGCAGCGGTTTGGCGCCTGCCTTTGGCCCAGGGCGCGATCCTGGAGACCCCGGATCGAATCCCACGTCGGGCTCCCAGTGCATGGAGCCTGCTTCTCCCTCTGCCTGTGTCTCTGCCTCTCTCTCTCTCTCTGTGACTATCATAAATAAATAAAAATTAAAAAAAAAATATGATTTATTGTTAGCTTTAAGCTGACTTGGCAATACCACTTTTTCTACCTTTGCAAGTAATCGTTAAGTAATATTCACTAATACTGCATTCTCCCTTTACAACATAAATGAACTCTCTCAAAAAAATCTAAATGATTCAAAACTGTCAAAGGCTCATCCTCTGTGTAAGGAGATTATTATATAGAGGAGGGTCTCTAACACATTTGCTACAATATCTTGGGCAAGTAGTTTAATTTCTCTAAACCCTAAACTTTTCTGTTCATAAAAGAGGTAATTCTCAGGTTGATGTGAAAAGTAAATGAGATAATGAGATAATATAAAGCATATAGCACTGGGCCTGACGCGTAATTCTTAATAAATATTAGCTTTTAGCATTTCCTGATAAACAAAACCTAGAGAGTAAATTTTTTCTAGACGTTCAATTTAAGCAAAGTGACAAGGAAATAAGCTAGGAATTCACATATCCACTAAATACACACACACACACACACATATATGCACACACACGGACACATACATATATATACTATGATATATAGAGATACATATCACATAAAAAAGATATGCACAGGAATCGTTTCTCTAATTCATTAAATCAAATGCCTAAGACTAGGATTTATAATATTTTAAGTAAGAAGAGAATTAACTTTGCTAATAAAAATAAAGCAACATGCATAGTTCTGATAAGGGGCTCAGGAGTTTCCACAGTGTATTATAAAGAACACAGGGCTTCAACACAGAAAAGCTTAAGTCCAAATAGCAACTCTTATCACTTGCTAACTATATGCCATTAAAAAAAGTGTTTCTCTAATCCTGTTTCCTCACTTGTAAAATAAGGTAAAAATAACTGTCACAAAACTAAGTAACATACATAAAATCCTGGCCAGCAGGCCCTCCACTAGTGGAGCTTTCCATTCTGTACTTAAAAATAAATTTCTGAACTGTGTTTTACAATTAGGCTGAAAGTTCATTAGAATATATATATATATATAATATATATATATATATTATACACACACACACACACACACACACACATATATATAACCCAAAGTCAGTATTTCAACACAAAATGTGCATGCAGGGAAAGAGACCAGTGGGAGAGGAAAGGAGGAAGATTGTAAAGTAAGAAACTGACTTCTCAACAGAAGACTGCTGTTATACTTACTTCACACAGCATATAAAACATGACCCATGAAGGAATAAGAATTTCAGTGTTTTTTGGTAATAAGATACTGTGAATGCTTCTGCTCTTGAAGATGGCTTGGAGAAATATGTTATTATCAAATATCATGTACAGAATTCATATAGGAAATATGAACTTCCCACTTATCCCCCCCCCACCACCCACTCAGTTCTTCCTCATTGGTTCTCAGGGAAGATTGGTTCTCAAATTATCTGGACTAATTGCTAGAATGTGGCCACAGTATGAATTATATAAACTCCTCATCCACTGACTCCAACAAAATATTTATGCTTACATTTTAAAATTACGCTAAGAAACCTGAGTCAGTTACGGAAATTCACTCTGAGTATATCTAGACACCAACACACAGCTCTACAATAAGGTCATATTAACTTCTGCTATCATAATGGAAATAATTTACCAAAGCAGAACGGATCAGGTAGAAAAGACATAAAGGGGAAAAGGAAATGTCACAATGTAAAGTTCTGTAATCAAGCTGAGGCACAAAAAAAAAAAAGTGTGTAAGGAGTTAGTTCCTTCACTTGAACGTTGAAGAAATGAGTGAAAATATGTGAAAAATAATTTAGGATCCTCTAAAACTTTCCAAGTGTTACAATGTTATAAGAATGCTTAAAAAAAAAAAAAAAGAATGCTTAAAAAAAAAAAGTTTCCCTCACCAAGGTAGCAGATTGGAGGTCTGTAATTTAGTTCTTAAGCAACCAGCAAGCTCTACAATGAGAATCTCTACCCAAATTTTCTTCTACAGTACTGCTCCAATGCAGACAAAAAGTGTGTAGATATTATATCAATGCGAAAGAAACAGTTCTTTCTAAATTCTTATTAAAAGGAGTTATTTTCTTATACGATCTGAGCTTAGGTGATTATCTTATGTTGAGATAAAGGATCATTGCTGCAGGATCTCTAACTTTAAGCCTGGGGATTAAGCTTCATGTTTCCTAAGGCTTACAGCTTTTCTTGTGGGAGAACACCAAGTTTCATAGCCGACCACTTTTTCCAGTCATCTTTTTCCTAACTTATATAATGAAATGGAATGATTATCCAGATTCAGGTTATAACTCTTCATTTATATTAAGTGGGTAATTGTAATTACAGACCAAATAGATGAATGCATTCTCTAAAGCACAAAGGGACACGCAAATTATAGGTGAACAATTTGCATCTGGGGACCACAGTACTCTGAAACATAAAACTCCCATGAAGGCCTTACTTAAATATGCTTATCGCAGGCCCAATCTCAATGAGCCATCCTCTATGTGCTAATAAAGCTGCAGGTATAACTTTCCAGGAGTTGCATTAGATAGCCACCACAAAGGACCAAGAAACCTTTAGAAGACCAAAATAAATGGAGCTCTGACAGATGGTAAAAAAAGGTGGGAGACAATGGGGACTCCTAATCAGTTCCATTTAAACCATGAGTGCCCATTAACCACCTCACCTTGTGAAGTAAAACTAATGCAATAAGGTAAAATATAGTAACGTAATAATTGAAATACTAAAACAAAAATAATCCTAAATGTAGACTGAAGCCCTTGGGTATCTCCCGGTCACTCAGCCTGTCTTTTAAATTCAGGGTTGCCCTAGCAGGAGGAGGTCAGCTAAGGACAGTCAACCTCAATGATTAATACCCGAAAACTAATTCAAAAATAACCAGAATTTATTTCAAAAGGGGAAAAATGGAGAAAAAGTAACATTCTACTTGTTACCATTAGCACAATTATCTACACTAATTTAATTAACCCGATAATTTCTAAAGTATAAAATATTAATTATATAACAGTATTTTTCACTTTAAGAAAACACACTTGGACACCTGGGTGGCTCAGTGGTTGAGCGCCTGCCTTCAGCGCAGGGCGTGATCCTGGGGTCCCAGATCAAGTCCCATGTCAGGCTCCCTGCATGGAGCATGCTTCTCCCTCTGCGTGTGTCTCTCCCTCTCTGTGTATCTCTTATGAATAAATAAATAAAACAAACAAACAAACAAAAAAACCACACTTGAAAATTCCTTCTCACTCAGGACAAATCTAATTTTAAAACTGACCTTAAGCATGAAACTACTCATCAATTGGATCGGGGGGGGGGGGGGAACCTGAGTCAAGAAAATTAGGATTAAAAAAAAAAAACAATAACTTTAATAAGCTGTCCATCAAAACAATACATTTAGAAGTTCCAAGGCTAAAAGTAAGCTGGTATTTCCCAAAGGAGAATGTTAATAAATCGGCTGTTTCCACATGCATGGCTGGGATTTTTGAAACTGTTACACTAACAAAGTCGTGAGTATGAAGATTAGAGCTTTAAAAAAAAAAAATAGAGCCGTTTTACGGGGAATAAATGGAATGAGGGGCATACACAATCCTTGATGCAACGAAGGTCGGCTGGATGATAGAAGGCAGGGAGAAAGGGCTGACGCTCTACCTCTCATAACCGACTCCCCCTCACTGTATCATTCTGCGAATTAGGAATGAAACAATGTATCAGCACAGGACGGACGGACGGACACACACACACACACACACACACCCTCCCAGCACTGCAAGGTAAATTAGTCGTTCCACGTTAAAGTACAGACTATTTTCTATGAAAACAACAGTGTGCCAAAATCCCAAAACGCCTATTCATGCACTTCAACGCCGTTCTACAGGTCTACACGCTACCCTGCGGACTGGGAACCCCCCGAAAAGCAAGCGCACCCCGCGGCCCCACGCCCTCCGCGGCCCCTCCCGGCGAGCGCGCGCGGCCTCAAGGACTTTCCTAGGTGCTTCCCTGCTTCCTCCCCCCCTTCCCGGAAAACACTCGCAGGTCTGTGTTCAAGTCCCTACAAACTGATGACCAGGGCCCGTAATTCAATCCATTTGAAATATGCTCAATCCTAAAAGTTCTAATACGAGGTGTTCAGGTTGGAAATGAAAAACTACCTTATAAGGGTATAAAGGGCTGAAAGCAGGAAGCGGCTTTGAGAAAACTAAGGAAGTTGCGGCGCGCTTGCTCACTAGGGGACTTTTTTTTTTCCCTCTCTCTTTTTTTTTTTTTTTTTTTTTTGAGGCAAGACGAGTTAACACATGACATCCTTCTCTCTCAAATTAAAATGTGCCCGTGGCTCACCGGTGCGAGCGCAGGAGGCGGGGAAGCCCGGGGGTCGGACGAGGGGGCGCGCAGCCCGCCCGGTGGAAGCCGCGGCCCCGGCTCGCAGGTTCGGCGCCCGGGCGCCCCCTTCCCCGCCCACGGCCCGAGCCGCGCGGGGTCCCCGCGCCCCGGAGCACCCGCCCGGCGTCCCCCGCCCCGTCCACTCGGCCCCGGCGCGCCGGCAGCAGGAGGCGCCGAGGGGCCGAGGCTGAGCGCCGGGCCCCGCAGCGCCCACCCGCCCGCGGCTCCGGGGGGACCTCCGGGGGGACCCCCGCCGGGACCCCCGCGCCCGCGCCCGCCCCCGCCCCCGCGGGTGACGCCCGGCCGCACCGCGGCCCCGGCCCCGCGCCCCACCCCCGGCAGCCCGGCAGCCCGACGGCCGCACCCCGCCGCGGCGCATCCCCGCGCCCGCACCCTCGCCGCCATCTTCCCACCTCCGCCTCAGTTTCCCCACCCTCCTTACCCCGTGCCACAGTCCACCACACAGGCCGGCAGCCGTCCCGCCATCTTCCTCCTCGCCTGCCGCCGCCGCCGCCGCCGCCGCCGCCGCCGCCGTCTGCTCCGTGCGGATTGGGGCCGGAGCTATCTGACCATCCACCGCCGGGCCGCCCTCTCCGTCCGGGGGGAGCCGGGAAGCCGAGGCAGCAGCGAGCGAGCAGCAGGCTCGGTCAGCGGCTACCACTTCCGCAACCCGGGCGGGCAGGCAGTCCCCGCCCTGCCCCGCCGCGGCCTCCTCCCCCTCTCTCTCTCCCCTCCTCCTCCCTCCGGCCCCCACCCTACAACTTCTTCCCCCCGCGCCGCCTGGCCCCGGGAAGCCAAGATGGCCGCCGGTGCCGCCGCCCCGGCCAGGCCAGGCCCAGGCCGCCAGCGCTCCCCCTTCCGGCTCCGAGCGGGAGGGGCGAGGGAGCATGCGCAGTGACGTGCCCCCGCCGGCCGCGGCGCCCGTCCCGACGTGAGCCGAGTCCGCTCCGGGCTTTCCCGGACGGGAGGGGCGGGAGGGGCGGGGCGGGGCGGGGCGGGGCGGCCGGCGCGAGCGCCCGGGTCTCCTGGAGCTGCGGGAGCGCGGTAGTTGCCGTGACTCCTGCGCTCGCCACCTGGCACCTGCCCCCCGCAGCCCCCAGCATCTTCTCCGGGGCCCCGGGGAAGACTGGCCCGATAGAAAACGTCCTCAGCGGCACGACACATTCTCGTCACTTGGAGACGCTGCTTTTCTGGGTGGAAAAGAGCGCCGGCAGACGGAGGGTGAGCGGTCGGGAGGGTTGGGGCGAACAAAGGCTTGCACCCCGGCGCTCCGCCTTCCTGCCCGGTTTCTAGGCTTTTGCACCTGTGCGTGGTGACATTGTCTGGATTGCAGACCCCCGGGGGCAGGCCTGTCCCCACGAGGAACGCACAGCCCCCGGGAGCACCTTCCACATGATGCAGTCTGCGCGAATAGTCCGTTATTCACAGCTTTCGAACGATGACAAAGATTCCCTCAGCAGTTTAACCGGCAGGATTATGCCGATGATCAAGGACCGAAAATAATGATGATCGTAATAATAAGGGAAAAAAAGGTTACAGACTGGACAGCCTAGAACAATGGTTTTCAAATTTAAGTGTGCACCAGAATTACCTAGAATGCTCGTTAAAACCTTGATTGCTAAAAAACAAAAAAACAAACAAAAACAACCTTGATTGCTGGGCCACATCCGCAGAGTTTTTGTGTAGGAGAAGGGCCTGGTAACTTGCATTTCCAAGAAGTTCTCAGGTGATGGTCTGGGACCCCACCTGGGGAACCTAGAAGTTTAACAGCTTTCCACCAGGCTTGTCTTCTGATAAATCATCCATTTGCTTATATGACTGAAATAAAAATATTTTCCCTAAGAAAGGATGTCTTATTCACAACAGTAAGTTGTTAGACTGGGCATTGGGATGGAAAGTGGGTTTTTCATTCATTTGACATGTTAAGTATCACATGTTAAGCTCACATACTCCATTATGGCAGGGACCCTGCTGCCTCTGAATAGTCTTTGGGCACAAAATACAGAAGGTCCCTGCTCTCAAGAGTTCGCAGTTTGATGGGAACATATAAATTGTGTTAAAAGCATTAGCAGAGAGCAACGGGCTACAAGATACGGAGATGAGGGTGGGAGAATGTGAGGGAAGTAGAATATAGGGAAGGCTTCTTGACAAAGTGACATTTTAAAGGTGAAGTAGAAGATAGGGGAAAGGGTGAGGAGGAAGGGGAGCCGTCCAGAAGGGGGAACAGCAAGGGTCAAGGGCCTGAGGTGGCAAAGAGCTTGGCCTCTTTCACAAATTCAAAGACCTAAACGGTCAAAGTGAAGTGAGCTAAGGAAAATGCAATGGGAGGTGGAGCCTGGGAGTTAAGGAAGAATCACACCACAAGGATTTGCAGACTTCTCCACCAATCTTAAAGTTTAGCCTAAAAGCAGCCTGGAAGGCATCAAAGAGATTTAAGCAAGGAAATGTGGCTGCTTTGTAGGGAATGGACCCCACAAAGTAAAGAGTGAAGTTGAAAGGTCTGATAATACATTGTGTGCTATAATTCAGGGATAGAATTATGTGAGCAGTAACACCCAGATGGGATCAGACATGTGCAGAAGAGACAACGTAGGGGAATCATCATGACAAACTAGTGCCCAGCAACCCACAGCTACTCCTAGAAAATAGATAAATAATCCTCCAGGGAAGCTTTTCTCAGCAATTGTCTTCCAAGAAGTCCAGCATAAATGGTTCTCTGTTCAGATGCATAGTTGTCTTTTCTTCCCCCCATTTTAGATGCTAAATGGGGATTCTTTGCTGCCTTTTCCAACATCAGATATTTAAGGTCATTTGGGAGAATAGATGCCTGAAGATCTGCTGTGACAGAACAGAGACATGTGGGTCAGTTGGGGTAAACAGTTGTTTTCAGCATTAACAGTAGTAAGTCAGGAGTGAAAGGTTTTTACCAAAGGGGTCCCAAGAACAGAGGTCGCTCAGGGAAACCCACACTGGTGGATCCTCAAGATGGGTGCTCACACACAGGCCTTGTGTGGGTTGTCACAGAAATAGTTACATCAAGGGTCGAAACTGGAGCATTCACACGATCCAAGCAGGTGCCATTATGATTGAAGAGGACCATGACGAGGTGTGGCAATAGGGAGACTCCACATCCACACCAAAGGCAGTAGAAAACTTACTATGCAGAGATGTAGACTCAGTATTGCCAGAGCATCCCTTTGTTCCAGAAAAATGGAAAATCTGGGTTTTTATCTGTTGGTAACTAATTCTCTGCAGGCTCTTTCTGACCTGTGGGAAACCAGTTTTCAACTTTTGATTTGGGAAGCTGGTTAACATTTATATGTATGTTGCATTCAAATATGCAGCTCATGTCAGACTAGATACTGTAACTCATCCACATGAGGAAACCTTCTACAGTGGTCTCCTTCAAGTAGTCAAGTCGGCCTTTTATAAAGGAGGTGACCCTTAGAAACCTTTGGAAGCTTCTAACCCTCGTTGGAAGCATAATTTGCACTGGTGCCTCATAATTTGTCTACCCAAACAATTTGCTTGCTTAACACCCCTCCTACTTCCTACTTGCTAGTGCCAAAATTGGTCAAACTCTAGCGCTGCTGCGGTTCAGCCTTCCTCAGCGGCACCCAGCCTTCAGATGCAAGTCCAGCCAGAGCATGTCTGACCACTTTGCATAGGCACCCTTCCTCCTCCAAATACAGAGAAGCAGAGGAGGTCAGAGCTCAAAGAGTTCACAGAGATGATTTTGTTAGACATGAAAAAGGAAAGCAGTGGTGCGTGGGTGGAGTTTTCCCCATACCCATTCTCACCTAATAGCACCCTGATTTCCTTTTAGTTCAGATCAACTGGTGCGAGTCACTTTCTAAGCCTGGTCCCCAACATTTCAAGCATTTGTGAGTCTTGTAATATCCTTCCATGAAAGCCCCTTTTTGGTTAAATTGGTAGTAATTAGCTTTCATTACTTATATCAGATTTAAAAATACTAAGTAATAAACAAGCCCAGAGAATGTAAGTGACTTTCCTAGTATCTTAGAGAAAATAGGAAACAGGACCCAGACCAAAACCCAGCTCTTTTCTGGGCTCATTAGTTGTAACGCCACAGCATTGTTTAATTTTGACTGATATACTAGCTACCAGCTACTATGAGGTTTCCTAGATTATTTGTGCTTTAAGGCCAATGTAGCAAATGTCTCTAGACCTTAAATGTCAAAAAAATTCACATATCACTCAATCTCCAATATTTTAAAATGGGAAATGTTATTATTATTTTTAAATCAACATAAGTACTTGCTGCAATGACTATTTGCAAATTAGCAGACCAATCAAATCAAATCCACAGAGAGTATTAAGGACAAATAGATAAATAGTCAAGATATCCATGCAGCCCGGGGGTCACAGGCCCTACTCCAGGCAGCAAGTTAACTAAGTTAGTTAACTTAGTCAACTAACTTAGTGTGTAGAGTGAGACCTGAACTTAGAATCAAGAGACTTGAGCCGGTGGGGGGGGGGGGGGGGGGACACACCTGGGTAGCTCAGTTGGTTAAACATCTGACTCTTGGTTTTGGCTCAGGTCATGAGTTTAAGCCCCACATCAGGCTCAGCGCTCAACACTGCTTGAGATTCTCTGTCCCTCTCACTCTGCCCCTCTTGCTTATGCACTTGAGCGTGTATGCGCTCTCTCTCTCAAATATATAAATAAAATATTTTTTTTAAAAAAGAGACTTGAATGTGAATTACTTAATCTATTTTAATCTAAATTTGCAGAAATAACTAACCTACGGGGTTGTTGTAAAGCTTGAATTTTAAGAAAGCATATTATAAATTATAGAATGATCTTATGGACAGATCAAGATGATTGTGATTTAACTATAAAGCAATGACTCTTTTACTTATTACATAAACATACAGATTTAAATATCCAAAACTGTGTCCTCCTTATCACAGAAGTCTTGGGGCTTGTATGCTTACTCTCTTAATGCTACCACTGTGCAGAATATTTTTAGAAGATCTCCTATAGACTTGCCTTCAGAACCCATGGCACATTCTTTTAAATATCTCCATTGGTGGCAAATCTTGGCCTTTTGTGAGTAGATTTGATTTTTGGAATTGGTCAAAAGTCATTTTTTTCAGCGCCAAGTCCAATGAATAAGATGGCTGAACAACTAGAGCTATGGTTTTTAGTGAACAGCTTTGTGTGACTATAAAATAATAATACTGGTTTTCATAAGTAACTTATCAACTGCTGCTGCCCATGAACTTCTAAAAAGAAGTTCTGGAAAGACTTTACTCATTGGCCACATCCCTAGGATAAAAAAAAATGTTATAGTTATATGTTTAATTTCAAATGAAAATATATTTCATATGGTATTAATATCTGTACAGTGTTTGAAATGAGGTGAGATTCTGTGGGATTTTTCACTATCCTGTCTCCCTCACTACTGCAAAAAGTGAACAATTTATTTAAAATATAAATCAATTTGAAAGAAGATGTGGGTTAGACTCCCCTGGCCACCCCCTACACACACATACCGTATTACACACAAACCAAGTTCCAGATGGACTACAAATCTTTAATATAGAGTGAAATGCATATTCTTCACTGGGGTCTACTAAGCCCATTGTATTCTGGTGCCTGCCTCTCTTTCCAATTTTTCCTGTCCCTCACGAGTTAGCCACTTCAGCCTTCTTGAACTTCTTCATACACACCAAGGCCATTTCTACCTGCATCTTCTCCCTGGACTTCCACTCTAATCATTAGTTATTCCAGAATCAATTTATTTTTTTAAATTTTTATTTATTTATGATAGTCACACAGAGAGAGAGAGAGAGGCAGAGACATAGGCAGAGGGAGAAGCAGGCTCCATGCACCGGGAGCCCGACGTGGGATTCGATCCCAGGTCTCCAGGATCGCGCCCTGGGCCAAAGGCAGGCGCTAAACCGCTTCGCCACCCAGGGTTCCCCTCCAGAATCAATTTAAATCTCACTTGCTCAGGACAGCCTTTCCTGACCACCTATTCCAAGGGAGCCTGGCCCATTCCCCCATGTTACCATGTTTTAATTTTCTAGTGAACTGCCTTGTTTATATATTGGGTTATTTGCTTATTATCTATCTCTCCAATGGGAAAAACATGCCCACTAGAATTTGAAAAGGACTCGGCTCATAATAAGTGCACAACAAATATAAATGGAATTAATGAGTTGAATAACAAAAAAAAAGAATATATTAGAATAAAATTCAGGAAAATATTTGTATAATCTAAAGTGGGGGAGAATTCCTTAAGTAGAGATCCATAACCATTAATTGAAATATTTGGTTACATAAACAATTGGATTTTCATTGGCTAAAGGTTTTTCTAGAAATTATAGATTAGAAAAAAATATTTACATTACATATAACAAAGGTTAATATTCTAAGAGTTAAAAACAATTTTAAAAAGTGCAAATAAAAAAAGTGCAAATAAATTTTTTTTAAAAAAAAAAGTGCAAATAATCCAACAGAAACATTGGGAAAGGCTATTAACACAAGGTCCCTACAGAGGAGTAGGACAATTAAAATGGACACATGGCACAGAAAAAGAGGGTTTTCATTGCTGATAGTAAGGGAAATACAAATTAAACAATGATACCATTTTTAACTCATCATTCACAACATCTAAAATGAGAAGAAAGGGGCTCCTGGGTGGTTCAGTCAGTTAAGTAGCTGCCTTCAGCTCAGGTCATGATCTCAGAGTCTGGGAATCAAGGCAGGCTCCTTGCTTAGTGGAAGTCCGCTTCTCCCTCTGCCCCTCATCATACATGCACTCAGGCATGTGCATTCTATCTCCCTCAAATAAATAAATAAATAAAATCTTCTTTAAAAATAAGAAAAGAATATCCAGTGCTGATATGTGTATAGAAAAACGTACATCCATTATACACTATTCCTGAGAATGTGAATTGCCACACCTCCTACGAAGTTAGCCATCAATATCACTTTATTTATTTCTATGTATTTGTACACATTAGTCTTAGGAATTGCATTTTGGTGAATCCTAAAAAAAAAAAAAATACTGTAAGAGGAGGGAGAGAAGATTATGATCATGAAGAATTCTTTTAAAAGATCTAGAAATACATTCTTCAAGTGCCTCTGTGATCAGGTATATCTGAGGTTTATTTTTTTTTAAAGATTTTATTTATTTATTCATGAGAGACACAGAGAGAGAGAGGCAGAGGGAGAAGCAGGCTCTATGCAGGACTCGATCCCAGGTCTCCAGGATCACACCTTGGGCTGAAGGCGGTGCAAGAACCACTGAGCCACCCAGACTGCCCTCGGGTTTCTTTTAACTCGAAGAAGGGGAGCTTGGGTCTTGAGAGGGACTCACAATCTCTCCCATATGTCAGTAATAACCTGCAGGGAAATGTACCTGAGATTGATATTTATGTTTTCTCCTTAGTAACAACACCTGGATTTTACTCAGGTGCCTATGTGCCTCCCTCCCCCAGAAAGACTACATTCTCAATCTCATTTGCAGCTGGTTGTGGCAGTGCTATTAAGTTATGCCAGTGAGATATAAGTAGAAGTAGTTAAGTGGAGTTTCTAGAAAATATCTTTAAAAAAGGCTTACTCAGAATACCAATCTTTTTCCCTCCACTTTTCTTCTGGGATAAAATACAATATGAATAAAGTACCTTAGGCTTTAGGAGCTCTTCAGCCACTATGAATGATTCACTGATGTTGATACTAGAAGCCATGTCCTAAGGAAAATGGAGCAGAAAAAGATGGAAGGAACTCAGGTCCCATATGATCCTGAAGTGCCATATTAGCCCTTGACCACCCACCTTCAGACTTATTTTTCATAAAAGAAAAGTAAGCCCTTAGTGGTTAAGCCACCGTAATTTGGTATTTTTAGTTATATCCAGCTGCATCTAATTCTGATTAATAATGCCATGTAATAATGCTAAATACAAAAAGCAAGTTGCTACTGAGAAACTGGTATTAATATCAGAAGGATATAAACTCAAATGCTTATGGGTGATTAGTGGGTGATACAGAAAAGCAAACTAGTGGAAGTATACATAGTAGGGAATGGAGAGGACCATGTTAAATTGGAAAGTATCAGTAATATTTTGCCACGTAGGCATGTAGAGCCAGATCTTTCAGTTTTTCATATTAAATTTTCCCCAATATTTTGCAAACAAAATATTTTCTTTGCTGTATCTAGACTGTAGGCCACCAGTTTGTGACCTTTGATTTGTAGTGTGATCTAATATTTGGAAAAATACCAAAAAAAGCGAATAAGAGAGGAGGAAGGCCCTATGGTTAACACAAAATGAGCAAACCTTTTGGAATCTCTAAAAGTAAGAAAGAGAGCTTAATTCAAGCCCAAGTTAGGATAGCTGCCCAGGAAACACGATCTTCACAGGAAAGACAGTGCCTGGGAGAATGAACAATTTTTAACAGAGTTAAATACTTTTCACATCTTGTAAAAGCTCAAGAGATTATAGATTCGCATATAGGGAAGAATCACAAATTTTATCATAAAGGAATGCACCTAGTGGGAGCTTTGATGGATATCTCAAGGACAAGATGGTCTTCTGTTAGGCTACTCATTCACAAAGCAGATATACAATGGATGCATGGTGGCCATAAATGAGGCTTTGGGTTTGAAGGAAGTTTATGTATTATCATGCTGAGTTAGAAAGTTAAAATGGCTTCCCCTGTATATTATTAGGACTCATCACTATATATTTCTTACTCCCCCCTTTTCTGTGGTTTTGCTTTCTGTAGTGTCAGTTACCCAGGGACAGCCGTAGTCTGCAAGCAGATGAAGCTCCTAAGGTAGCTTCAAAGGTCAGTGGTAGCCTAACAATACATCAGAACACCTGTGTCATTCACCCACTTCATCTCATCACGTAGGCATTTTTATCACACCACATCATCACAAGACAATAAGATATCTTGAGAGAGAGACAATAATTACATAACTTTTATTACAGTGTATTGTTATAATTGTTCTATTTTATTGTTAGTCATTGTTGACCTCTGACTGTGCCTAATTTATAAATTAAACTTTATCATCGGCATGAATAGGACAAACATATAGAAGGATCAGTACTACCCACAGTTTTGGGAATCCACCAGGAGTCTTTGAATTTATCGCCCAAAGATGGGGGCGGGAAACCTGATCTCTATGGTATAAGCATAGAGATGTTACAGAAGATTGCACCTGAAACAATAGAAACCTAAGAGGGATGAGATTGAAGAGCAAGCTTATTAACTTTTTCCTTTAACTCTGTATTTTCTGTCTTGTTATAATGGATACATATTAATTTTGTAATTTAAAAAGTCTAATAAAAAAGGAAAATTGCTGAAGTTAGACTGAAATTCCAATGCAAATGCCACAACATACTCCTAGAAAGCTTTCAGGATAATCCAGTCAGAGAAAGTTCAATTTGTCTTAGAAACAAGTAATTGATTTAAGTATATCTCAACTAGAAAACTAGAAAATAAAAAAAAAGAAAACTAGAAAATACAGATTTGAGAGGGAAAACACAGATGTTGTAGGTTACAGTGATTTTTTGTTAGGTGTAGATGAACTGGACGTCACATATAAACATATACACTTGATAACTGGAGAAAAAAATGTTCCAGGAAATTATTTTCTTCATTATCTTGAATTATTTTGATTATTTTCTAAATGAAAGATAAAAAGAAGTACCTTCCTAGTTCTTTAAAATTACATCATGGCCCAATGTGTACATTGCATTTAGTTTAAGACATTATGCTATTTTATTAAAGCTAGTTCTAGTTTTTGAGCAATTCAAATTCCTAAATATTTGTTGCTTTTTTTTTTCTGCTTGTCTCTCAGGCATTACAATGCTCTTGAAAACACATATTTAAAAATGTTGGGGCTTCTTATTCAAATCTAAAACTTCATTTGGTTCCAGTTTGATGAGAAGAAACCAAATTGTGAATACATTTTTTTCAGACACATTTATTTTCATCCTTTGGTAAATCTGACAACCTGTGACAGTTCTCACATTTCTGGAACAAGTTTACAATTACAGAAGAACCTAATAATGGCAATATGGTAAGTTATAAATCATTTAATTTGGGGGGGTTTGTCCAAAATGAAGTTATCAAACTTTCTCCTTGAGCTTTCTTCCCCCTACCCCAAACCACCCTGACGTATACCATGTACCATTGCAGCATTTATGCCTAGGGAATTATGATTCTTAAATAGTAGTCCACTGCTCTAAAGTCAAGTCAGTGTTTTATTCATAGAATAATAATTTTACCTGAGAGGTTTGGTATACCTCCCCAGTTTGGCAAATGAGGAAACTGGAGCACAGAATTAAGGGAATTACTTAAGATCTCACAACAAACTGGTACTATCTCCACTTAAATATATCTCTAGAGATTCATAGTGATGAAAGCTATATTGAAAATCCAAACAATTATAGTGTAATATAACAAATTCAATGATGCTATAAAATCTTGGTATACAGACTGTGGAAGGAGCCTCAGTGTCCATCGGAAGATGAATGGATAAAGAAGCTGTGGTCTATGGATACAATGGAATATTACTCAGCCATTAGAAACAACAAATACCCACCATTTGCTTCAACGTGGATGGAACTGGAGGGTATTACACTGAGTGAAATAAGTCAATTGGAGAAGGCCAAACATTATATGGTCTCATTCATTTGGGGAATATAAAAAATAGTGAAAGGGAATAAAGGGGAAAGGAGAAAAAATGAGTGGGAAATATCAGAGAGGGAGACAGAACATGAGAGACTCCTAACTCTGGGAAACGAAAAAGGGGTGGTGGAAAGGAAGGTGGGCAGGGTGTGGGGGTGACTGGGTGACAGGCACTGAGGGGGGCACTTGATGGAATGAGCACTGGGTGTTATGCTATATGTTGGCAAATTGAACTCCAATAAAAAATATGTATATTAAAAAAAATCTTGGGATAATTTCCAGTGGGTCAAGACACTTATGGTGGTACATAAGAGAAACCAAACTCAAATCAGCTCAAAAATAAAAATGAATTTTGTCTTTAGAATGAGCATGTTTCAAATAAGTGTGAATACCAAGAGGTAAGTGGATTCAGGTATAGCTGGATGCAAAGCTAAAAAATATCAGAATTAACCTCTTTTTTCTTTTGGCTTTACCTGCCACTGTGCTGGCTTCATTCTCGGGCAGCTTTAGCTACACAGTGGCAAAAAATGGCTTATGTTCTAACAGTTCATCAACAGCAGGGCAGAGAGTATGTCTTTCTCAATGGCCCCAACAAAGGAACTGGGAGTGATTCTCATTGGCTGGTTTGGATTAGGTGTCCTTCTTCGTCACTTTACTGTGACTAGTTGGCTAAGCCTGGGTCACATACTCTACCCCTTCCCTACCAATCCCACCAAAAGAAGCACATGGATAGAAAGTGGAGGAGGCGTAGTCACACAGGGGAAAAAGTATTTATTATCCAAAGAGAAGTAATGAATATAAGGCAAGCAAAACCAAAGTCCATTAAATTTACATTGAATTGTAAACTGATAAATGAAGCACTAACTTCTTGCTTAGTGGTTGGGGTTTTGTGGCATTTCATTTAAAAAATATTACCAACCATCTAGAATAAGAAACTATAAAACCAGAAAAAAAAAAACACAGAAATACTGAAAAATACTGTTGAGTTTGAAAAAAAAAGGATGCATGGCATGTATATTGTCAGTCTGTAAATGAACACAAAGCCAATTGAAAAATTAAAATGTTGGACATCTTCTAAGCATTACATTAATTTAGATGCTTAATTATTCCCTCAATCCTGCACTAGGAAAGCAATCATTAGGTTTTCACAGTAGCATTTGTTTATTTTGGTTTCCATTTCACCTCTAATGCTGATGAGCTTCTGCTAACTTCACTTAATAGTATTCCATTGGAAGGCATATAATTATTCAGTTTATAAAGAGTAATGGCCTCATACACAGCTAATTTTTATCATAGTGTAACTAGAACTCTGCTCACTCATTTATCCATTCGTTCATTTGCTCATGTGCCAGTTATGAACCAGGAACAAGGCTGGACACTAAGATTAAAGAGATGACTAATTTGCAGCCTCACCCCTTGATGAAGTCAAAGTGCAGTAAGGGAAACAGCTATATAAAAGCTAAAGTACACCACGAGAAAGGGATTTGCATAGGACTTTAGAGGAGGACCCACAACTAACACAGCTGAGAGACCAGGCAAGGCTTCAAAGAAGAAGACAGAGGGCATTCTTTCCAGAGTAAAGCAGAGGCAGATGACAGCAGTTTTGGACAGAATGACACATGCAGTGACACAAGAGCTTAAAAGAACTGTGGGAGTTTCAGAAATGGGATATAATTGTGGCTACGGTATAGGCTGTGTACAGAGTAAGAGTCAATGTGAATGACTTTGTACATTAAGTTTGGACTTTATCTTGCAGTTCCAAAACCTTGGTACCCACACTAGGATCCAGCTGACAGTAAAGAGCCATCTGGAGAGCTTGTTAAAAAAAATACAGATCGCTCAGGCACTACTTCTGGAAATTTGGGTCCGGGAAGAATCTGTGTTTTAAAGAAAGCTTTCTGTATGATTCTGGAACACATCCAAGTTTGAAGACCACTGTGTATAGACAATGGGGATCCTTCAGGGGAAACTGGGGAGAATAACATGTTTTGGAAAGATAGCTCCTTGCCAGTGGAAAGTTGCAGTAAAGCAGGTCAAAACAGGAGATGGAGAGACCTGATAGGAGACCATTGTAACAGAACAAATTAAGAAACGGCTAGCACCCACACTGTAGCAGAGGCAGTGGGAGTGCAGAGGAGGTGCACGCTCAGAGATATTTCTGAGAAATGTAACCCACAGGACTAAATGATCTGTTTGATGTGGGAAGTGGTGTGCGTGGGGGTGGGTTGGAATCTAGTTTGTGAGGGGTGCCCTTGAGAACAGGGAGTTTAAGCAGGAGGCGTGGCTGTGTGTACAGCAGTGTGATGTTGGCTCGAGGTGGGAGACCAGGCTGGAGTTTGCCGTGGGCAGGAGGCCAAGGCTTGGGACTGGGCCATCCAAGATCCAGAGGCTCAGATCTAAGTTTGAAAATTTGTTGACGATCTTCATCCAGGGATACCTCCCTTCTTTGTGCCATATGGGGTCCCTGCTAGTAGTTGCCCCCAAAGAGTCACTGGCATGCAAAATAAATAATAGGATAGAAAATATAAGGCTAACTGGAAAGCACATGCTTTCATTCTGTTCATTGATTAAATCATTCCTTTTTTGTTTGTTCCCCATTATTTTTGCCTTCCTTATTGCGGATAAGTGCCTTCTGGGTACTGAAGAGGAACATCCTACTTACAGGGTTTCAAATTGACAGAAAACTCAAATAGTTACAACTTTTCTTTATAATCTGCTCTCATGAGAAAAAGCAATGACAAGTAAGCAAGTTAATATCAGCAATTCCCAAGCAGATGTGGGAATTAACTTCAGATAATCAAAAACTGTAAAATGGCAAAGATATCAGCGAAAATTGAGAAAAGTATTTTTCTAGATTCTAATGCCTACATTTCAAACTGGTTATTTGTACTAAATTTTTACATAGAGGTATGGAGTTGTACCTCTCTAAGCCTATTTAACCCTTTGTTACTTTCCAGTGTGTGTAAATGTTCTTGATATAGCCTGATAGTCATGAAAATATGTAAGTTCCTATTTCCCCTGATCTCCAAGAAGATATTTTGTGCTTTTCTACTTAGAACTTACCATATGGATGTGCTAGGTCCTTGCCCTTCTCTTTCTCTGTCTGCACTGAAGGAAGTTGGTTCCTACTAACTCCATTTGCTAGATTCAGTTGCCTATGCCCCCAAAGAAATTTGGACGATGAAAGGTAAAAAGACAAAGTAGGAGAACTGGCAGAGGAAGAGGAAAAACCAAGGTATTTTTCCTCCTTTGATTCAGGGAGTTTCTCCCACAGCAGCTGCGCTCTAAAATTCCCATTCCAGGCCCAGCCAGGATCAATAGCTCCAGGGCTCTGTTAACCCTAGGGATGGAAAGGAGAGGCTTCCTGCTATGACTGTTTGCTGGGGTGCCTATCCTTCCCCAATTTGGCTTTCCAGTCCTTCCAATGCCTTTGTAACTAATTCCTGGTGTTAAATTCCCTCAACTGAACTACCTCCCTTGGGCTCTGATTTCTAGTTGGGCCCCATCTCATACACTGAGGTCACAATACCTAGAAAGTGGTTGAGCAAAGAACAAAATGTTCATCATCACAGAAGAATTTATGTAGGTACCACAACGCTCACATCCCAAAATTTCCAGCAGAGATATAAAAAAAAAACTAATGAATGTGGTTGAAAATATATAATACAATGGAAAGTTATTTCATTTTTTTTTAAGTCACTTTCATTTAGTTCTCTTCGTTCATTAGTAATCTCCCATCAATAGTGAAACCGTAGGGAATGGAGCAGAGTGAACAAAAAGAATCATGCCCACGCTGAGCCCAAAATAATTCCAAGTAGATTTGCCTGCACAAAAGAAAGAAAGGGGTAATCAGCACTTAGGGTAGGTAACAAGACGCATTTAGCGCTGTTACTGCTAAATAACAATGAAGACCTCTGTGAAATCCCCAGCAGCTTTCTCCCCAGACACTCTTTTCTCTCTCTGCATTAATTTGACCTTCCCATGACACAAAAGCAGTCAAGCTTAATTGGATGGGAGATTCTAAGATAGTGGTCAGTGGCCTAAAAGCCCTGGGGGTTGAGCCATCCTTTGAAATAGGTTTTGAAATCAGATTTTGTGCTCTTTGCAAGGTTGAGGCTGTGGTTTCACCAGCTTGGGCAGGATTCAGTTCATAATATCAAGCTTCCAAGCAAATCCGTTTCTGGTTTTGTTGAGATGAAGCCCAGCTGGAAGCCACATAAGGGACTAGTTTTATTCTCCAAGGAGCAATGGGCCATGTGTTAGTTTCCTGGGACTGCTGTAGCCAAGTACACAAACCAGGGGGGAGGAAGGGAGCTTAAACAACAGAAATTTACTGTCTCACAGCTCTGGAGGCTGCAAGTCCAAGACCAAGCTGTGGGCAGGGTGGCT